AATTGTTTAAATAGATACAAAAACTCTTTGATAAAATTCATCATCCATTCATGATAAATACTTGCTGCAAGGCAGGAATTGAAGCGGTCATGCTTGATCTTATTGAGGTATTCACACACACACATAAATCTACAGCAAAGCTCGTGCTTGAGGTAAGTGTTGAATGCTTTCCCTTTGAGACTGGCACCAGGACAAGGGTCCCCTCTCACCACTTTTAGTGATGATCACACTGGAGTTCCCCGCCAGTGGAGCAAAGCAAAAAGAAAAAATAAAAGCTATAGGGGTCACAAAGGAATAAACAAAGCTGTCATTATTCTCAGATGATATGATTATACATGAACAAATCCAAAAGAGTTGACAAGTTTTTGGAATTTGCAAGTGAGTTTGCTGAAATCAAAGTCAGTATGCAAAAATCAACTGAATTTCTAAACACCAACAAGTGTTGGAAAATGAAATTTTCAAAAAGATGCCATTTACAGCAGCACCAAAATATATCACATAGCTCTGAATAAATCTAACAAAATGTTTACTCATGAAGGCCTGGATTCCTTGTTTCAGAACAATCAGGAGAAGGTCTTGAATTTTCCTCACTTCTACTTCAGTTGAGTGTCCTGTCTTGGAAATCGAGCTTTTTCCTTTGCTCTCCTTGAGTAACAACCCTCCACCTCCTATTCACAAGGAGCCCTGTTTGAAGTCTCTACGTCTGCTTGCCTCTACTGCCCCAAAGGAGGTCTTCCTGTTCAGTCAGGTGAGTGCCAAGCCTTCTTAGAAGGATGTAGGCAGGAAAACTCACTGCTCTTCAAGGCTTCACTAGTAAAGGCCACCTGTGGTTCTTTCCCCAGTCTCCAAAAGCGTGATTGGGATGGACATACTTGGCAGTTGGAGACATCCCCACATTGGGTCCTCAGCCTGGGAAGTAAGAGCTGTCATAGTGGAGCTATTAGGTGGAAGCCTCTGAAACTGCCCTTCCACACACTTGCCTTCATCCTCTCCAAGCAAGACGCTAAATCAAAGACAAGATCACTCTCTGGACATTGATGGTGGAGATTAGTGCCACTCTTAGAAATACGAAGGATGCAAGAGTGGCTGTCCCTATCATCTCTCCTCTTAATTAGCTGACTTGAAAGTAGGTGACAACTGGAAAATGACTATACACAATTGCAAGCTCAACACAGCAGGAGGCCCCGTGGCAGCTGCACTACTAGACGGGGTGGTGCTGCTAGAGCAGGTTAACAAGCCCTCATGTACATGATATGTGGTCATTAGTTTGGGGGATATGCTTATTTTTAACCCCATCAGAAAAGAAAATCAGAAACAGTTTGCATTCCTACAGAACAGACAATATTCTTTACACTTTTGCTCCAGAGCTGTGTTAACTCTTCTGCCTCTGTTATAAGTTAGTCTGAGGAGATCTGGGCATCCTGGAGAATATCACAGTGAGCCATCAGTAGATGACATCACGTCATCCTGATCCTGTAGGAAGAGAGGTGGCTACTATACTGGCGGCCTCAGTAAGACATGTTTGCTCAAGAGGGTGGGAGATAAACCCCATGAAGAGTCAGGGATCTATCATTTCAGTACAGTGGATGATGGACACATTACAGGCACACTCAACAGTGCCCTTGAAAGGCAGTGGCAAGGGAAAATCTTCCCAATGGTAGAACTTTGAGTGGTGCACCTGGCCGTCCACTTAGTGTGGAAGAAGTGAGCTGAGCATATACGTGCCGTGGAATCATGTGCAGTGGTGAATGGCCTGCCTGGTCAGCTGGTCAGCAGCCGGAAAGTATTAGAAGGTCTGTGATAAAGAAGGTGTTGGGGCGAGGCATATGAATGGACATATGGCGTAAATGCCACATATTAAGATTTTTTGTATCACATGTTAATGTCCACCAAAAAGTATCTACCACAGAAGGGGCACTGAACAACCAAGTAGACAAAATGACTTGACCAGTTGACATCAGCCAGCCTTTGACATCAGCCACCCCACAATAGACATAATGGGCACATGAGCAGAGTGGCCACAGTGGCAGAGATGGAGGCAATGCATTGGCCCCAGCATGGACGCCCACTTACCAAGACAGATCTGGCTATTGCCTCCTCTGAATACCTAATCTGCCTGCAACAGAGGCCAACACTGAGTCCCTGATGACACTGTTCCTTGAGATCAATTGGCTGCTTGGTGACAAGTTGACTACATTGGGCTCCTTCCATTCTGATAGGGCCAGTGGTTTGTTTGCACAGGAAAAGACATCTATTTGGGGTGTGGGTTTGCCTTTGCTGTTCCCACTTCAAGAGCCTGTAGGGGTTTGCACTACAATCCAGGGGCTTACAGACTACCTGATCCACAGGCATGGAATCCCACAAAACATATTATCCAAAGGGTGAACCCACTTTACAGTGAAGATGTGTAGGGTGGGCCCATCACCATGAAATCCACTGGTTGTATTACACTCACACCATCCAGAAGCTGCCGCTCTGATAGGGCATTGGAATACCATCCTGAATGAAGAGGCAGCTGAGGCACCAGCTCAGAGGTAATGCTCTGCAAGGACGGGGTGCCATCCTTCAGAATGCACTCAGTCAGGGACCTCCATACAGCAGTGTCCCCAGTAGGATCTTGGATCCAAGGGGTGAAAGCGGGAATGGCCCCCCTTACCATCAATGACTCGGTGAAGAATTTTGTTCTTCCCATCGCTATAACTTTGGGTTCTGCAGGGTTGGAGGCCTTGATCCCCAAAGGGGTGCACTTTTGCCAAGGGACAAAGCAAGAGTCCTGTTAAACCACCAGCTAGGCCTGACACCTGGGCATGTTGGACTCCCGCGTCCAGGGAGCAGTGGGTGGAGTCGCCATGTTGGCAAGGTTATTGACCTTGGTCAGCAGGAGGAGGAAGGGCTGCTGTTCCACCGGGGGAGGCAGGAATATGTGTGGAACTCAAGTGACATGCTTTGGTGTCTCTTGGTCCTCCTGGCCTATTGTAACTGAGTGGACAAGTGCTGCAGCCCCGGCCTGAGAAGGGCATGGTCTCCAGGGGCTCACGCTCCTAGGATGAGGGGGAGTCACACTACCACTGGGATGTCCCGAAGTGACAGCTGAGGGCGAGGGGACTTGCCATGGTGAGGAGAGAGGTGATGAGTACCAGCTGTGGCCCTGAGACTGTTTGCAGTGACAGGAGTTGTCGTTCGCACCACTCGCCTCACTCTTTAGGTCTCCCCTCAGGAAGAGAGACCCATGAGAACCCCTGGGGAGCTGCCCCCCAAACCTGTGGGGAAGCGGATCTGCGCAGCACAAGGGGTGGACATGGCGGCCGTGGGAGTGTGCGGCTCAGCTCCCCCTTCTGGAGGGAAGCTGCGGTGAGGTGTGCAGTCGGCCCACAGCCTCCACCGACAGCACCTTCAGGATCCACTGCGGCAGTTAAGCTGGATACACTGTCCTGCGAGCTCCCAGCCAAGGAGCAGGGGCGGCAGGGAGACCAGGGCCTGGGTGTTTCTGCCCAGCACGGTTCTCCTGTGTGGGCAGTCTTGGCACTGGAGCTCCCGATGTGCCCGCGGAGACTTTCTCAGGGCTGAGACGCCTCCACCTGGATCCTCCTTTCCGGTCTTCTCCTTTCATAGGTGTCAGACCTCAAAGTCTCTGCTGCCTCCTGCTCCCTCGCTCTCTCATCTCTCATAGGCCTTAGTCCTCATCAGTCTCTTGCACTTCTAACTATCTGGGCGTCAGTTCCATTTTGGGACTCTATCTTGAGTCCAAAGGACCCAAACTGACACGGCATCTATCGTGACACCACAGAAGTGAGGCGGCTCCCAGGAGCATCACGCACAGGTGGTCTCTGCTGCATTTGGGAAGGAGTCATCTATTTCTACACCTCTCTTCCTCATTATAAAAACCTAACTTATAGATAATGAAGAATAGTGGAGTACGTTGAAGAATCAAGTCTTAGTTTTGTATTATTTTATGCTTGGAAAACTCCTAACAAGGTCTGAGTTGTCTTCTCTTTCCTCCCTGGAGCGTAAGCACCAGCTCCGTAAGAGGAGACAAGACCTTTCTGAGCACGCCAATGAGAGATGCTCACAGGAGTGCTGATCTGAGCCGTGAACATTCTGATTATCTTGTCATTGTCTTGTTCCTAGAAAGAAACCAGAGACCCCTGTTCCCCTTCCTCCTTGCTGGCTTCCAGAACCAACCTCAGCATTACCCAGCCAGGATCCACAGACTCAGTTATACTTCTAGGAGTAAAAAGTATTTAATAATGAGATCTTACATTTTTATAGCATTTTTATTTGTGATGAACCCAGAAAGGAAGAATTTTACAATTAATTTTCCTCTTAACATCCGTCTCAGTTATCATGAAACAGTCATAGCAAAATTATTACCTCTTCATTATGAAACAAAAAGCCACACAAAGTTTAATACCTGTTAGGAAGGCAATAGAGAGACAATGGGAAGTCAACACTAAAATTCAAACTTCCTCCAGTCAGCACCCTGGCCTCCACGTGGACATCTCTCGGTGCCCATGGGTAACGAGCAACTCCCGAGGTTCTAGGTCTCCTTACTTCCCTCTGCCAAAGTCTGGTTAGAAATGTGTGTGTGTGTGCATGCACTCGCGAACACACCCGTTCTTGTGTGAGAGGGTGTGCGAAGGTGATGACAAACTTGATGATGAGAAGAGGAAGATGATTGGCTGAAAGTTAATTTCTCACCTAACAGGTAAGTGACCCGCCCAGGTGACACAGCCTCAGTAGACAGAACCAAGGTCTCCTGACTGGAAACACAGTGCTCTGGCCTCTGCTGCTGTTCCAGCTACATCTGGGCATATGCCTTGTTCCTCCCCAAGTCCCCACGGGACTGTGATTGTCCACACCCTAGTTCCCCGCCAGAGATCTGATTATTCATTCGTTTTTTAGCATTTGCTGTTCGGGATTTTTTCCCAAATGGCTTTGGTTTTTACCACCGCAACCCCTAACGTTCTCTGCAAGAAGGGCAAACACTTTGCTAATGAAAATTTTTTGGTTTATATCACCTTTTATTTTATTATAGTCCATAAATATACTTAAATATAAATGAAATCATTAAAGAATTCATATTTTAAGGCACCAAGTGTCCAAAGTTCAGGAACCTGTTGTACTTTGCTCTCATTCCGAACATTAAAATGCGAGAAGTAAAACGGCCAACTTAATATCCAACTTGAAGCTTAAATTTACTAGAATAAATGAAGTACGCTCAGAAATCTCAAGTAAGGAATTAACAGGCTTGAGGCTGAACTGATAATCTGGACCTGGTTTGATTATCACCTGGTTTATTCTTATTACTCGTTTAGCTTCTTTATTTACAAATCTAAATGGAAAGCAAATTCTCCCTTTAGAGGGCACAACAGAGCTGCTAACAGAAGAGTCACTTCCATTTGTTCTCTGTAACTCAGGACAGTTATCTTGCTGTAAAACGCTCATCTCTCATGTCTTGAGCCTCTTACTGAGCAGTGGAGGTTTATTTGCACATAATCTGTTTCTCTTTTGGCCAGGATTTTCTTTGGGGTCCGGGCTGCCGTCACTGAGTAATTCTGAGGGTGCTTCCTTAGGCATCTGCAAGATAGGGCACCAACTCCAGTGGGCACGCCCCCTCCAACCCGCCAGCCCCCACAGGGCCGATCACACAGGCCAACAGACACACAGCCCACAGGCACAACACAACACAACACAACATGACAATACTGGCTGTTCCTCCCAAACCCTGATTAGCATCTTCCACAGACATCTGAAATGTGACGTCCACTTAAAATCTGGGACCCCAAGCCAAACTTTCAGAAACATGTGTCAACTGCTAACTCCAAAGTAGGAGTTCCGTGGTGAACTCCCATTTTTGGAAGCCCGTGTTCAATGCTTGCTCAGTTCTCACAGCTGAGGTTCTGTCCTAGACAGAAAAACTGTTCTCGAACAGCAGATAATCATTGATTTCTACAGTTGGTTTGTGTTGCACTGAGACAGAAGCAGAACTGTCAGCGAATCACTTACTCTCATTCAAATGACCTACTGTTCTCACCAGGAAAAGGACTTTGCCGACTGCAGGAACCCCAGGCACTGAGTGTTCCTTTATGCGCCAAAGTCATAAACAAATAGCCAATTATGCAACGAAGCCTCTGGAGGTTTTGCCTTTCTGTTTTTGTTTTCCCGAGAGCTCTTTCTCACACCCTGGGCAACTCAGTGGAGAATGAGAGGCCTCTGCTGGAAGCACACCAACGCAGAAACTAGGCCACTTGGGGCCAGATGGTGCCCAGCCCCGCGCCACTGGAAGGTTACACTTCACTTCAGGACCGACTCTGGCATTGGGAGCCACCATGCTAATGCTTCTGTGACTTTAAAGAGTGTGGTGTGGGAAGCAGGCAGAGTCAGGTGGCCCTTGTGGCAAACAGTAAGGAGTGTAGGACACATCATCATCTCTCTCTCTATTTTGAGGCCCTCTTTGCGGGCCTGAGGTTTGCTTGTTTGTTTTTGGTTCGGGAATGCTCCTGTAAGAATGGTTCTTTGGCTTTATTTCTTTCAGGTGGTGTGACACTTGCCTTGAAATTGAATTGTGCACTCAAAATTGCAACAATAAGCCAACCCTAGCAAAGGTGGGTTTTATTCTAAAGGTCATTGTACAATTTTTAAAAATTGGGATTTTCTTTTCTTAAATTCTCCAAGTTTTAAATTTCTCCCCTAAAAAGAAAGTGGCAGACTCTTACCTTTGTTCTGCATGGAATGTTCTCAGGGACCACACTCTCAGTTTGGGCTCCGATGGCTTCTTCTAAACCTACATCAAGGAAGATACAAGGGAGAAGACAGAAGAAGATAACAGTCTTAAAAAAAAACTTTTTGGTGTCTATAGGAATACCCTTAAGAATAGAGAGTTAAATGTGTTAAAAATGTGTCACTATTAAAATTGCTGCTTTTGGGCCGGCCCCGTGGCTTGGCGGTTGGGTACGTGCGCTCTGCTGCTGGCGGCCCGGGTTCGGATCCCAGGATCGCACCGACGCACCGCTTCTCTGGCCATGCTGAGGCCGCGTCCCACGTACAGCAACTGGAAGGATGTGCAGCTATGACAGACAACTATCTACTGGGGCGTTGGGGGAAGAATAAATAAATAAAATCTTTAAAAAAAAAAAATTGCTGCTTTTAAACTGCTATTGTAGCATTTCAGCATTCTCATGCACAGGTGGCACTGGGCCTGTGTTAGCCATGCCTCATTCACTTGCTCAAAGGAAATTCTTCTGCCCATCATGATAATGCTCAAGCTCTGAGTTGACTTTTAAGTAACAGCGAGGGACTTGCCCCAGCCTCTACTCTTCCTTCCCCTTGGCCCTTCAGGGGACAGAGGACATGCAGGTGTGTGAGGAATCTTGCCAGGTTTGAGTGTGAACATACACTTGGTCCAAAGACAGTGACTCATTACAGGTAATTTGTGCTGACTCTCAGATTTCCAAAACTTAATTATCTATTTCCTATGCTATTTTGATTCCTGGCTTCTCAGCCTTATCCTAACCCTAAAAGAAGGGAGCAGAGAAGTTGAATCTCAAAAATATAACGAAAGCAACCACAAAAATTCTAACATTTGACAGTGCTTTCTATTTTTCAACATGGTTTTACACTGGTAGTTTACCTTCTAATCTCAGTTTATGCTCATAACAGAAAAATAAATTAACCTAGTTATATGATATAGGTAAACAAAAGATAAATTTGTATGACAGGCTGTAATTCTGAATGACAAACAATAGTCCTCAAAAGTTAACTCATAAAGAGTGAAATATACACACAAAGTCAAATGATTCAGCATACAGCAAATAATTGTTAACCTAAAGCCTATAATTTTTTTGTGTGTATGTGAGGAAGACTAGCCCTGAGCTAACATCTGTTGCCAATCCTCCTCTTTTTTGCTGAGGAAGATTGGCCCTGGGCTAACATTCATGCCCATCTTCCTCTCTCTTATATGGGATGCCGCCAGAGCATGGCTTGACAAGCGGTGCACAGGTCAGAGCCCAAGATCCGAACCTGCGAACCCTGGGCCTCCGAAGCAGAGGGTGCAAACTTAATCGCTACGCCACCGGGCCGGCCCTAAAGCCTATAATTTTTGTTAATAATGTCTCATGTATTTTCATGGAACAATGCTGAAATACGATACACTGCAGCATTCGTGGTAGAGCATGGTACAATGCAAACATGCAGTTTTTTAAACAAGTGAAAATAATAAAAATAAAACCGTGTGCCACTTCAGTAACAACTTAGATTTGGAATTGTGTAGTGCAAACAGAAAATTTTGATTCAACTGAGTCCACGTAGTTGTTATTTTCCTGCTATCTTTTTCTAGTTATCAAGGTATACATTCACTTCCGCCATGAATGACAAGACGCACAGTCATGCAGGACCAGGGTGGGGCTGGGGTGGGGAGCGGGGAGGGTGGGGGGCGAGGAGGCATCTTCAGGGTCTGTGCACTGACCTGTCAGAATCCCGTCAAGTTGGTCCACCATAAACTTGGCGTCTTCTTCCGTGAAGCACATGGGTGGCTTTATTTTAAGCACATTTCTGTGAGGCCCGTCGGCGCTGAGAAGCACCCGATTTTCCTTCATTCTAATTAGTGCAGGAAACACACGTGAGTGCGCACACACGGCGGCTCAGCCGACTCCCGAGCGACGCGAGCACGGGGCAGGTGAGTCCTCGCACTTACAAACTGCCCGTGTCTGAGGCGCCTTATTCCCAGACACCGGGGAGGTAACAGACGCCTTCAGGCGGGGGCGCACTTACTTGTAGATGACGTGTTGCGCCTCTGCTGTGGCCGGGGTCCTTTTCTGAGGGTCCTTCACTAAGTCAACGCCGATAAAAAGGCCAACGCCCCTGGGGAGGTGGCGAAAGAAAACTCGACACACCTTCTTTGCACTGTCACAGAAAATGAACGCTGTCCCCAAACTTCAGTTTAATTTGAAGCTGAGTGTGATTCCCTTCAAGGGTAACTTGTCATTGATTCTAACTAATCCCAGACACCAACCCAGTGTCCACAGCTCTTGCCAGTTTTTGATCATTTTTTTAAAGACTTTATTATTTATTTATTTATTTATATTTGTGAGGAAGATCAGCCCTGAGCTAACACCCCTTGCCAATCCTTGTCTTTTTGCTGAGGAAGATTGGCCCTGGGCTAACATCCATGCCCATCTTCCTCTACTATATCAGACGCCGCCACAGCATGGCCTGACCCTGAGCAGCGGTGCGTCGATGCGCCCCGGGATCCGAACCTGCGAACCACGGGCCGCCGAAGTGAAGCGCCCTCACTTAACTGCTGTGCCACCGGGCCAGCCCCTCTTTCCAGTTTGTGTACCAAGTTAGTTTTTGTCATCTAGTTTTTTTCCTTCACTTAACTGCAAAGGAAAAAGGCTTAAAAACAACCTTTTCATGCTATTAAGTTTCTCAGGACATTAATGATGATAAATGTTTAATGTTTATACACATTTATGAAAAAAATTGAGTTTTCCAGGATATCATTTTAAATAATTTTTAACAGATCATTGAGAGTTACTTTAAGTTCTTGCTTTTCATCTTTCGGGTGTTGAAATCATCCCAGCTTTATATTTTTTTAAAAACATATAAAATTCAGGAAAGACATACACCCAAAAGTTACAGTGGTGATATCTGGGTTCTTAAGAGTGATTTTTAAGAGTGATTTTTGGATTAAGAGTGACTTTAGTTTTCCATGTTTTTCAGTGTTTTCTAGATTTGGTTTTACGTAATTTATTTTAAATTTATAAGATAAAACATAAGCTATTTTCATTTGGAAAAATGAATAACTACCTGACCCCTTCATGATCAACATACCTGACATCTCCTATCAATGCATGCTTAGCCTTTTGTCTATTCAATAACTCAGTGAGGTACATCCCCACCCTTGTGGCATTTCCCTGAAGGTCTTCATTCTCAATTACTTCCAGGACAGCCAATCCCACAGCAGAAGATACTGGATTTCCTCCATACTGCAGAACCAAGACAAATGAGAAAACATAGTAGTTAAATTAATGGTATTATTTCATCTATGAGATATTTGGCTCATACATAAGCAAGTAAAGATATAATTTTAACAAAACTTTCTCTCATGATATTTGTTTCTTAGATTTAGAATGTAGCATGATTCTATTCATTCAGGATTGAGTGAAAATTGATCCCAAATTATATTCTCCATGCCGCATAACAGGTATGAAGGACTATCGGGGAATTATTGGTTCATCCAAACAAAAAACAGACGTTGTGTTGGGAATTAAGGATTTCACAGTGTGGTTCAGTGAGGGGGATACAGGTTTCTGCCCCTGAATAGTTGTGTGAAAACAGCTAAGCAATGACATTTTCTCCAAATAATTTATGTCCTTAGATTTGAGTCTTACTTTTAGCTGTAACAAGTCCTATTATACACACTGCAAAAACTATAATAATTTTTCTAAGCTTAAAGTTGATGACTTTTGGGGGTAAAACCAAGGAAATAAAATTTCCCAAAGATAGAAATTTAGTATCTCCTATGACAGCCATATAACATTTTTTGTGTGTGTGTGAGGAAGATCACCCCTGAGCTAACATCCATGCTAATCTTCCTTTTTCCTGAGGAAGACCGGCTCTGAGCTAACATCTATTGCCAATCCTCCTCCTTTTTTTTTTCCCCAAAGCCCCAGTAGATGGTTGTATGTCATAGTTGCACATCCTTCTAGTTGCTGTATGTGGGACGTGGCCTCAGCATGGCCGGAGAAGCGGTGCGTCGGTGCACGCTGGGGATGTGAACAGGGGCCGCCAGTAGGGGAGCTCGAGCACTTAACTGCTAAGCCACAGGGTTGGCCCCAGCCATATAACATTTATAGAACTGAATCATCTAAATACTTCAGAAATGTTGGGGAATTTAAATGTGATACAAAACAAAGACGATCATATCATCTATTAATGAAATATCATAACCTCTAGAGTTTAGCAGAGCAGCCATCTATCATTAGAACAATTAATAAGAACATTTTAGGAAGGAGAAAGATACACAAGGAAAAATACAAGGAGGATAGTGCCACGTAGAATGCAATATGGTTAGATCAAAGTTTGGCGAGAGTCCTGGGGTGAGCAGCTGGCAGTATTGAGCTTTATTTTTTACTGCAACAGCAAGAAGTGTAAGAACATGCATTATTTTTCCCTCTCAGCATTTAAATCCGAGAGCAAAATTTACCGTATTGAAATACTCCATCCCAGAGCTGCTGAAGGCTTCTGCAATTTCTTTGGTTGTTACCACACATGCCACTGGGTGGCCATTGCCCATTGGTTTCCCCATTGTGACAATGTCCGGAACAAAGTCTTCACCATGCATTTGGAAGCTCCAGAAATGTTTCCCAGCTCGGCCAAAGCCGACCTGAACTTCATCAGCTATGAACACACCCCCTGCTCCTCGTACATATCTGAAAGGGAAAAGAGCAGTCTAACGCGTGGGGTCACTGAGGGCCCCAAACCCACCCACAGAGACACTACTGAGGACTTACAGCAATGTTGTATGTAACCTGAAGCCTGTAATCTGTGTCAAAAACATTTCAGTGCTCAAAACCCCCAATGACACTTATGTGATGTCACTGACTTTGAAATACAATCACATAATTTCCAGATTAGATATATTCTACATTGTTTGGGTTTGTGCTGTTTAAGTAAGTGACATTGAAGTATTTTAAGTGGCAAGAGAAAGAATTACACAAGTCGTAGTTTTTAGCAGGTTTAATCTTCAAACTTTTACTAATTGGTAAGGTTTGGGCACCAGCCAATCAGAGAAGATGCCAGGCGGGGGCTGGAGCAGAGTCCTGGAGGCCCCCCTCTGAACTATGTGTAAACCCTTTATTTACTGGATCTTGGGAAGGTGGAGGAGTTCCTGGAGCCCTGGGGTGGGAGGTACTCTGAAGTGGTTATTTACCAGCTAGTCTAGAAGGACTTCAATATTTTAACAACCAGTATTGCTGTACAGAATTGGCACAGTGCCCTTAGTTTGACCAAGGGTGCCCAAATCAAGTACATACTCTGCCACTTTCTGGAAGTAGCCTGCTGGAGGAATTATCTGTCCGCCACAACTCTGCATGGATTCAGCAATAAAGGCAGCAATCTACATGAGAGAAGATAGAGTCAAAGTCCATTAGGTCCTCCTCCTACCCCCTAAAAAAGAGGACTTCTTACAGAGCAGATTATTTAAAGAATGGCTGGGAATGGACCTGCGGTAAGTGGTAAGTAGGCCATTTGATTAAAAAGAAAACAAAGATACCTACACTGGAAAAACAACTGATCTGAAGCCTTAGTTTCTGAAATTTTAGGGTACCAGTGAAACTACCACGAGAAATGGAGGAGAGGACGCCTTACATTTCTCCATGATTAACTTAAATGCAGTGTTTTCATTAGGATCAACTGAATAAGACTGATGTTTTGATCAGTCTTTAATATGAACCTCTAAAAAATTACCCAGGTCCTAAGAACCTTCCTGTGATGCCTGTTCCTCAGCTTGAGGAAACAGGACTGCCTGAGCCTGGAATCTGCATAAGGAAGGGGAGGGTGACTTGTGGCCACACACGTTAGTTACTATGTTGTATTTCCAGTTCTTGCCCTGAATCGGGCTTAACTCAACAGAATTAGGCAATTCATAATAGGAACTTCAGAGAAAGTGTTCTGGAGGCTACATGTGCTTCTAAGAAAGGAGAAGTAGAAATAGATAACAGTGAAAGAAGAAGAGAAAACAAAGAAATAGTATGAGATATGAAGTCAAGAGAACCAAGGTTCTCGTCCAGACTGCCTCTTAGTAACTGTAGTACCTTGGCTTAAGTCTTTCACTTTCAAATATTTCATTTATTAGCTATAAAACGAGGCCGTTGGATGCAAGAGATTACTTTTCTAAAATTCCATGATTTTAATATTCTGAAGCATCCATCATATATTTGCTCACTGCTTTCAGCACTGTTAACATGACAGCATCAATTCAGTAACTATTGAATGCTAATGTTCTCAAAAAATTATCCAAACCTTTTTAGCAGTGAAAAGACCCTATGATCTTAGTAATGCAAATTTTTTTCTGCAAGAAGTTTTTACTGTTCATAGGCTACATTTGAAGAGGAAAAGAGCAGGAAGCTCCCCATGACAGGTAGAGCTCAGGGCTACCTGCACAGATACCGCATTGGAAGAGACAAAAAACAAATGGGATGGGAAGAAAAAGAAGAAACAGTTAAGAAATGCAAATGACTCTCCATTCATTAAGATAAAAATATTTGAACTGTAAAAGCAAAGACTTCATTTTTATCTCAATTAAGACTTTTTTCTTGCCATGTTGATGCCACAAGCCAGTTTAAAGGCAAAGCATGTGTCAAATCGCATGAAAACTCCACCTGAGTCACCCCTGAATGGGCTGAGGATTTAATGTTACGCTGAAGACAGTGGAGTGAAGACTGAGGAAATGGAAATCTTTCTCCCACTCTGGAGGATTCTGGTTCTGCCTTACAAATCCAGGCCCAGACTGGAAGAGCATTTTTCTGCCTCAGCTTACCCAGGCTCCGCAGCTCCAGGAAGGTGAACCAGTTCCAGGGAAGCGCCAGGGCTCCCTGGGGGTCTGCAGTCTGCACTGTCCCGAGACTGCAGGGCCACTCTGCTATCCCTTCCCTGCACCATGTGTCAGGCCCTGGTGTCTCTCCGTGGGAAGAGTCTTTCCGCAGGCTATCACCTTTCTTCATCCTATCTTCCCCTACCCCTTTTGCACCAGAGTCTGCATCCCACTGGGAAGGTCAGAATTAGGCCACCAGTTCTGCAACAGGCATAGTGATTTCACTTCCAGGATAAATAAAAATAGATGGTTTTAGAGGCATGGCTATAATAATACGAACCAAATGAAACACGAACCAAATGAAAATGTAACCAGAGAAGAACAAAAAGGGAATTTAGATCTAATCCTTTGCCACCTGTTCAATGTATCACAATGATTTCAATCCATTTTATAAAAAATGGTAAAATGTTCCCATGCTATAGATACAAACCTTCCTTCCACTGCTATGAGCTTCTTCGATAATCTTCTTCACCTCACCTGCGTAAGCACCGGCTGGGTCTGCATGGTCTTCTCTGTATTTTCCTCTGTAAATGTCTGGAGCTGCTGCCTGAAGACATCAAACGATACAGTTTCTCAGGATTTGCCTTTTTGACAAACGAACTTAAAAAAAAAGAGCACATTAGAAAGGTGGCCATGTGGATTTAAGTGACTCTAGCTTCTTTTGTTCTTTTTATTTTTTTTGCCAGGAAGATCGGCCCTGAGCTAACATCTGCCAATCCCCCTCTTTTTGCTGAGGTAGACTGGCCCTGGGCTAACATCCGTGCCCATCTTCCTCCACTTTATATGGGATGCCACCACAGCATGGCTTGCCAAGCGGTGCGTCGGTGCGCACCCAGGATCCGAACCAGCGAACCCGGGGCTGCCACAGGGGAGCGCGCGCACCTAACCGCTTGCGCCACCGGGCCTGCCCTGGTTTTTTGTTCTTTTTCCTTAACATTTCTGAATTCTGTGAAGAACTGAATTCCTTGCGTTGTGAACAGGAGCCTGGATTTGCTCCAAGATCCCTATAAGTCAAGACTGCATCGGTATCCACATAAGGAGCACATTCAAATCCACAAGGCTGACCACAGAATTTGAAAATTTCAACGATGAAAACTGTATTAACTGTTCTGTATTGAAAAGAAACTAACACTTACCAACTATATTGCAAATTGTAATCATTCAGAAAACTAGAGTGCCTTAGCACTGATTCCAGATCTTAAAATTTTGAAAGAAGGTATTGATGATTCTCTTAAGAATGAAGGATGGATGATCCTTAATTCAAATAAACACACCAAGTGAGTTTTACTGTTTCAACAACTTGAGTGGTTTTAAAATTTCATTTATTTACTATTTATTTTACTTAATACATCTAAATACTAAATTAGCATAAAGAAATTTAATTTTAAGACAGTAATACACACCTGACGCAACTCTGAATCTTGAGTTGACATTAGTGATAGAAACAGTAATTGAAGATCAAGGGACAAGAAAAATAAAATGATAGCTGTGAAGAACAGTTGTTGCTACCACTATACGAATTTGCCTACTATGAAACTCCTCAATGGATCCCAAACTGCATCCTGTCATTTTCTAGCTCTTTGACTCCAGCAAGTCACATAGCTGCTCTAGATCTTAGTTTCTTTCTCATGGTTTCACTTCGATGAAAGGATTGGATGGCATTTCTTCCAGTACTAACATTCTGATTCTAGGAGTCTAAGATACTTACCACATGGACAAATTCTTTCTTAACATCTTTGCCCTTTCGAAATTTATATGGACTGATATCAATTAAAGATGATAGGTGACCATGGTAAGCACTGAAAAGAAAAAGAACAGTAACAAAAATCACTCAAAGAAGGATGTTCTTCTACTATATGAAAAATAGCATTGCACATCATCCAGGGAGAATCTCAGCATTGGCACCAGATTTAACTATATGGGATCTAATTTTTTATGGCAAGACTGGCCATATAATTTGTCCAGTTCTCCTTACTCATGTGATAAAACACATGGAAAGCCAAGTATGTATCCTCATAGACAATTTCTTTTTAGCAAGAGAAAACCCAGTTTCTTTGGATTATATTAAATCACATTTAGCTTGTCTAAATGTGAAAAGTTATTTTCTACAGCTTCATGAAGAACTTCATATGTATGTATTCTTTAAATGTATTTGATAGTATATTCTAGTAAATTTTAAAAACAACTTTCTGTCATAGAATGGGTATGTGTTTCTGTTTGGGGTGGTTTCTAAAGGACATCCAATTGCAAATATTAGCAAACATCAGTTGGTAAGGAATAGGAGGTCTCTTCAAGAACTAAGATTGAGAGGTGATCAAGTGGCTATGAAATTCCTTCCTCTCATTTGAAATACAGGTGGCTAGGATATCCCTTTTCTGTTTCTTTCCCAGAGATATAATTGGGAGATCTGGAAAAGAAATTATAAAAGGCTCACAAATAGATAAAGCAAAGAGGGAGGACTTCTCCTACCATTGATTAAGACATGCTACAAGGCCATAGTACATACTTAGAAGAAATTAAGTATCCTTCAGGTCTAAGTTGGCCTCGATACCTTAAAACGTAATAAAAATCGTGCCATATAGCCAGCCTCCTACACACGAACTTATGGTATTAGTATGGACAGGATCAAGACAATTTTGTCTCTGAAGGAGCTTCTTGCTTAAAAGTCTTGCATCCAAGACTTACTGGTCAAGAGTGATCACATCCTGGTGGCCTCTGAACTGTCGAGCCAGGCGTAAGGCTAAGTCATTGGCTTCAGATCTATTAAGATAACATAGAGAAAGGGGACAATGTGACATAAGCTCTTTCAAAGACAGTTCCAAATGTTAATTACAGAACTTGTAAGATTCCAATGATCCAGAAATGTATAAAGAAACAAGTGGACATCCTCTCCTTCCCTTCAATCTTTCCCACCCAGCTCACTTCACTTTCTAATACAAGGTTCCCAGGTGTTCTCAGTAAAGAATGGGGTACATAGGAGAACCCAATACAAGTTAAGGACCTGCTGCTCATTTCAAACTGGAGCCCAGTTCAGCAACACCAGGAGGTGCCTAACTTTGAGGACACTGAGAAGCCTGCTCTCACTGGGAGGAAGGGAGTATGGGGGCCCGCGGTCTTGGCTACTAAACTGTGTGTGCTGACCCGATATTTGACTTAGCTCCTTATTTACAGAATGAAGACCATAATTTTTCTATCTACTTTAGAGAATAAATATACTACTTAGACAGGAGGAAGAAAATAATCACTTGTGGGACGTTTATTGTCTGCCAGACATCACACAGAATGTTTAGCTTCTATTTATTCTCATACCTACTCTGCAAGGGAGGTACTGCCATCTCCTTTTTATGGATGAGGAAACAGCCTCAGGGAGGTTAAGTTACCAGAATAAGTTCCCACAGCTAGTAAGAGGTAGGGCCAGCGTTCCGACTGAAACCCGTTTAACTTCAAGATCATTCTTTGCACCACCGCAGCCTCCGCCACATCCAGTCTTTGGTGACAGTGCACTTTGGGGCTAATCCCTCTTTGACAGTACAGGATTCTTTAGAAGTGAAAGTCAAATATTATTATATTTAATTTATGAAGGCAAGAATGCTTTACAACAATTAGTTAGATCCTAAAAATCTTAATTCTTTACAATGAAAAAGAACGATGTTCTGGTTATAAATTTGATTTTAGAATATCTCATTGAAAAGAGAAAAGTGAATCACAGAATCATATAATTGGACACTTACAGAATTTCTAATAGCTTTAATACATATATACACAGATATCATTTTTAAAATGAGTTGATACTGTATATACAGGTTTCCTCCCAATATAATATTGCACTGTGAGCTTTTCACATGCCACTAGGCACGTGTTTTCAAAAACATACTTTTTAATGTCCCCATAATATTCCATAGAATGGACATATAATAATTTAAATTTGCAGAATTTGCAAGTTGGAATGTCTCTATTCACTTGAATTTATTCCTTCCTTCTTTGTGTTTGTGTTGGGGAAATGTGTTCAATTGCCTAAGAAAACAAATAAATCAAAAATCTTACAAAAGTTATATCTTGTTGAGTACGGTTTTTTTGTTAACATTCCTTATTCATGCTTTGAAAAAACTATCTAGGCTCATTGATCTTTAGCTACTCACTCTGTTGCCAGAAGAGTTGAGTGTTATTTGGCTAGTTAGGTTTTCCCACATGAACAGCAGACTTGAATCTTTTTGCCATGGTTACGACATACGTATCTATCCTTTGGGGACACTTGAGGGTACACTTTCCCCCAGGAAGCCACAGTAATAAAAAGCTGAGTGGCTTGCACACATCATCAGGCTGTTGTCTTAGGCGGCGTCAAAAGCCTTGGACATGCTGCCGGGTGTCCTATCTACAACAGGCTCATGGAGTAAAGTAGAAGGACCAGAACCGTCGGGTCCCCAACTTGTGGTTACTTAGTAAATGGCAAGAATCTCAGGAAACCTTTTTAGACATCTGTGCTCCACCACGAATCAAAAAGAAAGGAATGTGAGAGAGTAAATCAAGAGATTGGTGGGAGCGGGGAGGGTGGGAAACCTGGGAACATACCCTGAATTTGTGAAATAGCAAACAGAGAGTTTCTCGGGCAGTGTCGCAGAGAGGCGCTTGGCATACTCCACAATGTTGTCGTGCAGGAACCGAGAATTTGTGTTCAGCAGTTCCATCTGTTTCAGGGCAGCTCTGACCACTTCTGGGTGACAGTGTCCCACTAAAGTTAGAAGACAAAAGCCCAAGAAATTAGTCACAGTGCTAAATGCCTGGGAAGTGAGGCAGATTCTGAAGTAAGAGAAAGAGATGAGCTTCTTGCTCTCCCACAGTTTGCAGCAACTTTTCCCTGCTAGGACGACTGGCCCATTCAGCCACTGCAATTCCTGGGACAGATATTAATGGTGCCAAGACTGCCTTACTTCATAACGTATCCTTTAAGGCACGAGGAAGACAGGACACTTGCCGTGGGCCACGTTGTTGATGCAGTCCAGGTACCGCTCGCCTTTCTCGTCGAACATGTACTGTCGCTGAGCTCGCACTATTTTGACGGGATCCGCAGCAAAGAAAACTTTGCACGAGGGCCTGAAATAATGACAGGAACACTTTGGTCTGGTAGGACTGCTCAGTGTTTTTCCTTCTCAATGAAGGTTACCATCAGTGCAAAATTTCAATTACATAAAGGAAAGGACAACACAACGTGGGTGACATACACTTTTTTAATTTCATATCAGCCTGGAAACTTTTACCTTAATCCCCATTCGTGACACTGCTCACATTCCTTACCCTTGTTATACTAAATTTGCCGTGATTTGACAACTCTATTTAGAGGCACATGGATCAACTCTGACAGCTCTAATTACACAAGCCAATAACTAATTTTCCTATGGGGAATTTTGTTTTACCAGGAAAACAAACTTGTTTTCCTGAGGCTTACTATGTGTCAGGAACTGACAAATATTACAAATATTATCACATTTAACCCTCCCAACAATCATACGAAATAGGGGTTATTATCATGCTCATTTTTGTGGGTAAAGAAACTGAGGCACAGAAAAATGAAGAAACTTGTTCAAGGTTGCACAGCCAGTAAGTGAGACAAGCCGAGTTTGAAAGCAGACTGTCTTACGGCACAGCCCAAGATAGAGCGTGCTTGCTCTCTCCTTCTAATCTATTTATAAAGAAACACATAGCACTACAAGTTAAATACAAACAACTTGGTATCAAATATGATGAAGAAGAGTTTATAGGAGATAATTTCTGTGTCTTCTGAGTGGTACTTGTTTTGTATCAAATGGATTTTCTTAAATAATGAAACATTCTTAAATAATGAAATCCAATTATTCTTCTAACCCCTTAATCCACTCTTTTGAGCATATAAAAAGATCATCCAACATACAAAAATCAGTTGCATTTCTGTACACTAACAAAGAAATAGCAGAAAGAGAAATTAAGAATACCATCCCATTTACAATCACAACACAAAGAATAAAATACCTAGGAATAAATTTAACCAAGGAGGTGAAAGACCTATACAGTGCAAACTATAAAACATTGTTGAAAGAAATTGAAGAAGACACACAGAAATGGAAAGATATTCTGTACTCTTGGATTGGAAGAATTAACATAGTTAAAATGTCCATACTTCCTAAATCGATCTACAGATTCAATGCATCCCTATCAAAGTCTCAACGACATTTTTCATGGAAATAGAACAAAGAATCCTAAAATTTATATGGAACAACAAAAAATTCTCCAAACAGCCAAAGGAATCCTGAGAAAAAACGAACAAAGCTGCAGGCATCACACCCCCTCATTTCAAAATATGCTACAAAGCTATAGTATCGAAAACGGCATGGTACTGGCACAAAAACAGACACACAGATCAAGGGAACAGAACTGAGAGCCCAGAAATAAACCCACACATTTATGGGCAGCTAATTTTCAACAAAGGAGCCAAGAACATACAAAGGAGAAAGGAAAGTCCCTTCAACAAATGGTATTGGGAAAACTGGACAGCCACATGCAAAAGAATGAAAGCAGACCATTATCTTACACCATACACAAAAATTAACTCAAAATGGATTAAAGACTTGAATGTAAGACCCGAAACCATAAACCTTCTAGAAGAAAACATATTGGGGCCAGCCTGATGGCGCAAGTGGTTAAGTGCGTGCGCTCCGCTGCAGCGGCCCAGGGTTCGCCGGTTTGGATCCTGGGCACACACCGACACACTGCTTGTCAGGCCATGCTGTGGCAGTGTCCCATATAAAGTGGAGGAAGATGGGCATGGATGTTAGCCCACGGCCAGTCTTCCTCACACAAACACACACAGAAAAATAGAAGAAAACACAGGCAGTACACTCTTTGACATCAGTCTTAGTGGTATGTTTTTGAATACATGTCTCACCAGGCAAGGGAAACAAAAGAAAAAAATAAACAAATGGGACTACATCAAACTAAAAAGCTTCTGCACAGCAAAGGAAACCATCAACAAAACGAAAAGACAACCTAACAACTGGGAGAAGATATTTGCAAACCATATATCCAACAAGGGGTTAATTCCCAAAATATATAAAGAACTCATACAACTCAACAACAAAAAAATGAACAGTCTAATAAAAAAATGGGCAGAGGATATGAACAAACGTTTTTCGAAAAAGAAGATATACAGATGGCCAACAGGCACATGAGAAGATGTTCAACATGACAAGTTATTAAGAAAATGCAAATCAAAACTACAATGAGATATCACCTCACACCTGTCAGAATGGCTATAATTAAAAAGACAAGAAATAACAAATGTTGCAGAGGATGTGGAGAAAAGGGAACCCTCATACACTGCTGGTGGGAATGTAAACTGGTGCAGCCACTATGGAATCAATATGGAGATTCCTCAAAAAACTAAACATAAAACAACCAGGGGCCGGCCCAGTGGCATAGTGGTTAAGTTCACGCTCTCTGTTTTAGCGGCCCGGGGTTCGCAGGTTCAGATCCTGGGTGCGGACCTACGCACTGCTCATCAAGCCATGTTGTGGCGGCAACCCACATATAAAACAGAGGAAGATTGGCACAGATGTTAGCTCAGGGACCATCTTCCTCACCAAAAAAAAAAAAAAAAAAAAAGAACAACCATATGATCCAGCTATTCCACTGCTGGATATTTATCCAAAGAACATGAAAACACTAATTCAAAAAGATATATGCACCCATATGTTCACCACAGCATTATTCACAATAGCCAAGACTTGGAAACAACCTTAGTGCCCATCGATGGATGAATGGATAAAAAAGATGTGGTGTATATATATATATATATATATATATATATATATATATATATATATATATACACACACACACAATGGAATACTACTCAGCCATAAAAAATATGAAATCTTGCCATTTGTGACAACATGAATGGACCTGAGGGTATTATGCTAAGTGAAATAAGCCAGATGGAGAAAGTCAAATACTGTATGATTTCACTCATATGTGAAAGATAAAACTACAATAAACACATAGAGACAGAGAACAGATTAGTGGTTACCAGGAGGGAGGGAGGAGGGTGAAAGGGGTAAAGGGTCACATAAAATAAATAAATAAATAAATAAATAAATAAATAGTCATCCATATTTTTGCTTATTTGGATGAATGTCTGGAGAATAAATTTTAGCAACATAGAAACATCACAAAGGCTTGTGAAAGACCACATTTAGAAACTGAAACTGGGTATATTATTTTTATTTTGCATGCACAAAAAATGCCACATGCATTTAGACAGTAATTGGATAGTTGTATATTAAACTGATATGCAACTGTTTAGACAGTATGCTGATTATTGTAAATAGGTAATGTTAAATTTTAAAATTGCCTAAGATTAAGCATCATCAGCTAAAATAAACTAATATTGAATGAGAATTTTTATTGGTTCAAACTGAGCTGTTAGTTTATACCTATGAGTTAAAATCCAAAGAAAACCTCTGTTATGAATGTGGGCTGAAATCTGCAGACTTCACCCTGCCTTGTTAAGTACTTTTCACCTTGCCACCCAGACTTCAGGTAGAATTCCTCCACGCCGTCCAGCTACATTCCTCCTTTCACAGGACTTGTTCTGCTCACATCAGAAATCATTAGGTTTTCATTGGAATCTAACTATACAGGATTGAAAACTAATATAAAGAAGCGATGATTGTAAAAAGAGAGGGGGTGATCTGGGAATGAGGGAGGAATCTGACCACTCTGACCCTACTTTGGGGTGGAGAGGGATCTAACTAGGCTCCTGTACCACCTAGAAACTTCCCGGGGTGAGATCAGGAGATCAGTACGAGAAACTGCCCAGCATTTCTCGGAAGAGGATGCTGGTTCTTTTCTTTCCCTGTCCTCCAGTCGTCTCTCGTGCCCATCCACTGCAGCGCTTGCTAAGTACCGGTACACACTGCAGACTGTTGGTTTTACAGTGGCTAGGGGTCTCAAAGGGCCACCAGCAGCATTCATATTTACATGCACCTTTTTAAAACCCGGATCACACTTATTAATCTCACTTGCTCGCCCCTGTGAAGCAGAATATTATTCCTACTTTCATACAAGAGGAAATTAAAGTAATTTGACAGAGGTCACCCAGGTAACACGACTCCCTCCTAAGGCTAGAGCCCAGGGCTGACTTAACTTTCTGTCCTGTACGCTCACCAGTATACTACCTAATCGTTCATACCAAGGGCAAAACAAAGGTGGAATGCAGAGAGCACTGCAGTTTGAAATCGAAGTGAGGGCACGGCTTGGGACATCAAGGTGGGTAACTGGCATCTTACGCTTAAGAAGATGGTTTCAAAGTTTTTCTACTGGCTGGATTAACCCTTTACCTTTTAACCAAGCATGCAAGAAGAAAAGGCTCACTTTAAACAAAAGTTGTCAGAATTAGTCTGTTTTCATAGCCATCGTCAAAAATATTTCTGAGTTCATAGTTTTGAGGAACTTTTGAGTTGGTGAGAGTGGCGGACAGCTGCCCGTCTCCCTCCCAGCGCCCATCCCTGGAATGGTGTTCTCCGTCTAGTGCTATTAACCCTCGTCGGTCAACTCCTCCAGCCGGCCGGCAGCCCGCACTCCTCCGCCGGCTGCAGACAGAGCGCGGGGACCCCGCGGGAGCCGGCTGGGAAGCAGCCCCCCAGAGCAGAAGCGCGGCTACGCTCTCCGGGCGGGCGGCGCCGCGCGTGCGCAGGTGCGGCAGGTGCAGCAGGTGG